TAGAATAGTGATATCAATATTTTTTATCAGAAGGATTGTGTGCAAATTTATCACAATTTTCAATCAATCTTTTTTTTGTAAAAAGGGGTGTTTTGGGTAAGAACCATGCTCATTTATCCTCAGAAGGAGATACTTTCTCACTTAGTGGAATCATTTCTAGATTTCTGAAATCTGCATATTTGTTTTCCACTGTATCAGTAGTGGGGATGCACCGATAAATCCGTCCTGATTTCTTAATTTTGGTTGCTCGGCAGTCAAGCTAATACTTATTACATTGTTATTGATCTAATCTACCTCCATGAAGGTCTGAAAATCTCTGTCCCCTTTTGCTCTGCTGTAATAGAGGGCTGACCGGCTGACCTGCCCACCAGGTCACAACGAAAAATCTGTATTGGCTTTTTAAAGATTTGTAATCAGCCAGAAAACTGCAGCCCCGATGAGTAGACGGCCACCAAGATAACCTCAGTCATTATTTTACTTTACATGCATTCATATTATTTAACCGATGTAAATATTTTCTTTCTCCTCTAAACTGCTGTTTACATGCAGGTAGCTCTTTCAGATGGATGTGAGCATAGCCGTGTCTCTGATCCGGGGTCAGATGGGCACGGTGGTGGAGCGAGCCGTGAACACGGCGGTGGAGACGGTGCTGGCCGAGATGCTCAAAGTGGTTGGAGTGAAGTTCGAGGAGCTGAAGGCTCAGGTGGTGGTGATGAAGAGGGACGTGATGGCGCTGCAGAGGGAGAAGGCCCTGAAGGAGAAGGAGAACGACAACATCCGAGCCAAGCTGCGCTACACCGAGCTGAAGCTCAAGTACTACAGGCAGGGAGTGGAGGAGGAGCTGCAGCAGAGGGCGTCGGCCTCCGCTCTGATCCACATCCAGCCGCCCGCCTTCACCCGCATGCAGAGGGGCAAGGCAGAGCTGCCCGTGCCCCGTCCAGCTCACAAATCTGCGGAGGAAGTACTGTTTAGCAGCAGCCAAGGTGTGAACGTTCGAGGCGTGTACGTTTTGCCTCGGCGCCTTCGGAGTCTCATTGCTGGCTTCTGTTTTGTTCCCAGAATGCACCTCGTCAGACAGCACAAGCAGACGAGCAGTCAGAGTTTGCGGTCCTTCGGATGCGACGAGCTCCGACTCATCGGACCTGCTGCTTCCACTCACACTCACCGGGGGCGAGTCTGTGGACAGCAGCGCAGGTACAGGCAGGCCTGGCACGATAACAAATTTTGCTGGATGATAAATTGTAAGTTCGTCTAATGGTCAGACGGGTTCCGGACTAAAACCTCTTTGCTTCTCATGCAGTTTTATTTCATCACTCGGTGCATGATGGACCTCAGAGGGAGGATGTGGACCAGGTGGAATGGACCATCAGTATGCAGCCTCCAGCAGAACGATGTGCCGAGGCTCCTGATTCCATTAGGACCCTGACGCTGTTGTCAGGGCAACAGCCAGCGCCTGTCACACTGTCCCCAGATGTTGACAGCTCCATGCTGCCCCCTTCTGCTCCAGAGGTGACAGCACACATCCAGTAATTAGCTCATGTTTTGTTTTAAGCTGGACAGGAAAAGGTTTACCTTGGATTGAAACCAGATATTTACATCTTTAAGAAAAGATGTGGCCTTTTTTTAAATGTTGCTAATCAGGTTTGTATCAGTATATCAACCTGATTTTATATATATAATGATTCATAGAGGAAAGGTGCCACAAAATCCCTTATTCAGTGTTGCAGGTGCGCTTTGTTTCACCTGAGTCTGTTCTGCTCGGAACATTGTTTTTGATCATACTTCTAAATTCCAGTATATTATTCACAGAAATACTTAAGGATTCAAATTAGAATCTTGAAATATTCCTGAGATGGTGCCGATTGTCTTCAGGTGAAGCAGGAGGTCCAGCCGTCGCAAGAGGAGGAGGAGGAAGTGATCTGTATTAAGGAGGAGCCAGCAGAGGAACAGGAAGTGATGGCCACCCTGCTGCTGGACTGCCAGACACAACGCGGTCCAGCCCCACAGCCAGAGGTGACCAATAGTCTCTGCTCACCTGTTCACTGTTGTGGAGGAAATACTTTCCAAATCCAAATTTCATTTACATTCTGCGGCCGTAGCGCCGGCTGTGTTAGAAATCATCCTGCTTTTGTTTTTAGGTTGACACAGTCATGCTTTGGGATTCCGTGATCACAAATTTCCTGTAACTTAACAACATGTAGCGCTGTTTGTGGGAACACTCCCATCACCCCCTCCAACGGCTTCCAAAGCTGTGGGAAGGTGATGGGAGGGGATTATGGGATGTGGGTAGAAGGACTAACTCCAATTCAAAGTTTGCCCCCTTGTGGTAACACTGTGTACTCCAGTAGAAAGTACATTTGGAAATAAATACCAATAATCACGTTCATACCTGGTGATGATGATGTCGCCATCTGAGATCAGTGCCGCCACATTAACACACAGACGTCCTCAGATGCGGTCCTTCGTCACCAGAGTGAAAAACAGTCAACAGGATGTAGATTCTCTTTCTTTCTGCTCCTGCAGACCCAAAGGCTGGTGGCCGAGCCAACACAACCGTCAGCAGGTCAGATCCACCTTGGGTCCGATTTCAGCCCAGCTGGATCCTGCATCTGTGAGTAGATCTGTGTGTGTGTGTGTGTGTGTGTGTGTGTGTGTGTGAGTTTTTATTAGATTATATGTATTTATTGTCACTGCACAGTAAGCAATACAACAAAAATAACAGCACTGCTTTGCTTAGGGTATTTATAAACAGAACACGTAAGACTAGACAGAAGTATGATCTGTAAAAAAACAAAATCTTCCATAATGGGATGAACATGTTGTGTGTTCCCTCTCAGATGCTCTGCCTCAGTTGGCCGGCTCCCTGCCCTCCGCTGCAGCCTTGCAGCCCGGCGTTCTGTCCCGCCAGGCGGTGCGGCCCTGGACCAAAGACCTGAGTCTGTACGAAGAATACAAACTGCGGCGGAACGAGCTGCGGAGGAGAAACCTGAACAGGCGGCGGGAGCTGGAGAAAAGCTTGCCTCAGCCGCTGCTGGCAGACCTGGTCAGTTAGCTTTTCAATCCTGGGACAAATATGTGGTTTTTTTTTTTGTTTGTTTGTTTTTTTAATGCTCTGGAAACGTCGTACCGGGTTATGATGAGGACGTGTCGTTGAAGGTGCGTGAGCGGCGAGAGAAGACCAGGCTCAGGGTAGCCAGGTGGAGAGCCAAGAGAAAACTCCAGGCCTGTCTTAGCCAGACTCAGGTTAGTCCAAACCGGCTTCTTAAACTGTGACACATCAGCTGTCCTGCACACAAGCAAACTTCTCAATATGAATTTGTTTATAGCATTTCCAGATTTGGATGTGTGCGTCCCTAACATTTATTTGATTTTTATCAAACTTTAAAAGCCCCATCAAAGCACATGCTCTCTTGATTTGCAGAACAGAGTTTCACAGTATTGTGTAGAAGAAAAAAAAAAGAGCAAAAACATTTATTGCTGCGGCAGTGCTAATTTTTTTTTTCTCTCAACAGGAAATACAAATCAAGATGCAATAATAATTCCATGTTTTGTTTCTTTGTCAGGCTCCAGGGGGCGCTGCAGTTCTCTCTCAGGCTGGTGTTTCTGTCAGCAGGCAGTATCAGCAGCATCAGCAGCACAGCGCCCCTCGTGGTAAGATGAGACATGATTACACTTTTATTGCAGATACAGCAGACTATTTCCAATAGGGCTGTGTTAATGCTTTTTACGCTTCTACATCCACTTAGATCAGGATTTTAAATATTTGGCAATATGTACTGACATAACAAATGAACAAATCAGTCCTCTTAGGGTTTGTGATTTTTTTTTTTTTTTTTGCAATTAAAATCAATGTTTTTGTGGCACTACAAATATTTGCAAAGAATTTTGCCATATTTTTTTCCTCATTAAACCCCTTTCAAAATCTACACACAGAGAGAAGAAAAAGAAAAAAAATAGGAGATAGATTGGACACACAAAGTATTTTTCATCACTAAAGAACTTAAATAGCTCAATTTGTGTTTCTCTCCACATCAACCAGGGACTATTACATGACATCAAGTAGGGAAAAGTATGTCTGTGTAAAAGTGAATAAAGCAGATTTCATCTGGCGACTTTTTTTCCATCCCATTAGATGGAACATGACTTAAAAACCCTCTAAGCTCTTTCTGTAAATACATGTCCATGCATGACAGTTAGCAGTTAAATGTTACCTGTGACAGTAAGTCAGAGATGAACTGAGAGATTATATTAACACATCATTCACAGATTGTAAGTACAACAAAACTCTCAAAAACCTTTTGCCTCTTCCTGCAGCATAAAACTTTGTTTATGCTGTCAGGCAGATCTTGAGTCAAGTAGAATGGCTCGCTTGAACATAGTTCTAACATATAGTAGATATAAATTTAGTAAGCAAATTACTAATGGCAGAAAAGTGATCGCTAAGTGCTGCACCACTTTGGCTCCATGAGGAGCAGAAGCAGTTTGGTGACATTTGTCTGCAGGACTGTTCTCTGAGAATTGTGTCCTGGTGACACGTCTTGCGTTTCAGCATCCAACAGCCAGCAGAGACAGAACTCAGCATCTCCTCACACCAGCAGCTTCCTCAGCGCCGCGTCTGGAAACTCCGTTCCCGCCATCCTGCCGGCACGATCAGGGAGCCCCGCACGCTCCCTGATCGTGCGGGGCCACATTGGGGCCCCGCACGATCACACTGTGACATCATCATCATCATCTTCATCATCTTCCTCCTCCTATGATCACGTCAGCCAGTCACCGCGGGCCACGTCACTGACAGATGTTCATATGTCACAGTGAACTTCATGTAGAACACAGCAGAGTCAGCATGCTAGCATGGAGTTTATTTTAGAGCAAAAAAAAGCACCTTAACCACGTACAAAAGCACAGGTTGTGAAACGCTTCCCTACAGGCACAATCTGTGATTCAAAGCATGTTAAATAATGCATTAAATGAACATGTTTCTAATCTGTTTTTTTTTTTTGTTTTTTTTACAATACAGTGAATCATGGGATGCATTATTCAAAGTATCACTAATGTTACTCTGCATCAGGGATGCTCAACTCCAGTCCTCCAGAGCTACCAGGATGCAACTTTCAGATGCTCCAACACACCTGAATCAAATGAATGTCTCGTTACCAGGCCTGTTCAGAGCCGAGTGACTGCTGGTGAGGGAATTCAGCCATTTGATCGAGGTCTGTTGGAGTTAAGGATGCATCCAAACGTTGCAGGACGGTGGCTCCAGAGGACTGGACCTGAGCACTCCTGCTCTACATGCTTAGTGTTGATAATAAAAAAGTTAATTCCAATAAATATTGTTTTCCTCAAACTGTGTTCTCTGTGTTCATTTCAAAAGCTTTCCCAGTGCCAACCAGTGTTGTTGTTGTTATTCACCGCAATGTGGAGTTGGTTTGTACAAAACATGGAGTCGGAACACAAAAAGCAGGGCTCGTTCATTTTACCTGAGCAGAACGTCCAGCAAAAGGTTTTCACGGCTCCTTGTCATGATACTCTGAAGGTTCTGTCCTGTCCTGAGTTGTTTGCTAAACTACATCAGCAGTCAAGCAGGTTATTTTTTTTTTTTTTTTTTGCCTCTGGGTGTTTGAGACATCAGTTTACATTTTTACATCACACAAATCAGACTGACGGGGCTGAATATGTAAATGTATTTCCCGTTATCCGTTGATAATCTTCTGAGAGATGGCTCCTGGCAGCGTGTAGAACAGCAGGGCCAGGAACAGCACAGTGATCAGCAGGACCAGGGCGATGATGATGTACTTCTTGTAGTTGCGCCACACCAGGTGGAAAAAACACTTGAAAGGGTTGACAAACCAGGAGAAGGACGTGTCGGGGCGGCTGGAGGACAAACACACTCGGTTTAGTGGTCAGTGTTTCTGACTGTGCTCCTCTCTGTTGTCTACAGCAGATGTAGAAACGGCAGCGAGGTTTGATTTTTCTACCGCTGAGTCTCAATGAAATGGACGGACATCAAACAGTTAACCGGATGCCGACTGACGGTCACAAATGAAGCCGGTGGTTTCAAAGCACAAAAGTGTGGCAGAGAAAGTTTCAAAATTATTTTAAGCAATTAGGCTTTACAATGCTCAAGTCTGAGTTACTTGATTCTCATTTACTCTGTACTCATTTATAATTTATTTATAGATTAACATATTTGCATGTGCATGCCTTTTACCTATTTACATTGAGTCATGTCATATTACCTCTTCAATCTTAGGCATATATATGTACATTATAAACTATTTTTCTTATGGTTATTATTGTATAATTAATATTTAATACCTTAGATGGAGCAGCGGGTCAACAAATAGGCTATTCCCCCTTGGGGATCAATAAAGTCTATTCTATTCTATAAAAGCAGCAGAGGTTGGTTGTTGTAGATTACAAGTAATCCAGTACATAATCATAAATATTCCAATGGAAGGAAAATTGATTTCTTTCTTGCTTGTTGAAGACATTTCACCTCATCCAAAATGTTTCTTAAGTTCTAATAATTTTAATGAGTATCTTGGTGCAGTAATAATAATAATAATTACTATTATTATTATTATTATTATTATTACTATATTTCAGTCCTGAGTGGATCACTGAAGCAACTGGTTTGTGGTCAGTTTTGCTGAACCATCCATCAGTCAGTCCAACTAAAGGTCACCTGAAGGTCAGCTTCAGCAGCACCTTACCAAGTTCAACTCGGGGTTGGTAGTTTGAGTGTTTCCAATCTTGTATCCTTCAGATAAAAAACTAAACTTGTACGTTTGTAGCTGTTTTTGTATTTAAATGTCACATGGACTTTTACAGGCAAAAATTAAACTATTAAGTATTTTTTTTCGTTTTGCCAAATTCTCAAATCCAGTTTTGTGGAACAAGCACACGCCCTTCATCATCACTCTTACTTTGGTTTGGGCAGCGGCTCCGGCTCCTTCCGCGCTTTGCCAACAGGATTCTTCTCAGCCTCTTCAGCTGTCACCAGGTGGAACTCTGCCTCCACTTTTCCCTGCAGGATTTCCAAGTCAGTGGTGAGCAGTTCTGGACTGTCTGTTGGTTTCTGTGGTTGTGTGTGTGGGGGTGGTGGTGGTGGGGGGGGGGGGGGTACCGTGAGCTCTCCAGACTTGCTGAAAGGCCACCAGCCTCGAGCTCTCTTCTGCTGGAAGATGGAGATTCTGTCTGTCACTTCCGTCAACATGTCAGCCTTACACGACTTGGCTGTTTTTGCTCCACGGGGAAATGCATGGAGGTCCAACTCCAGCGTGCCTGAATGCACACAACCAAACACATGAGACACGCACACACACACACACACACACACAGACACACACATACACACACGTCATACACACCCACCTAGGAAGTCATCAGAGGAGAGCGTTTCAAAGTCCCAGACCTGCAGGATGAGGATGGCAGGAAGTTTCTGCTCAGTTTTGTCCAGAGAGAAGATGTGCTCCCTCTTCTTCACCACCACCACCTGAGGAAGAAACCAGGTCCAGACCTCTAGAACCCCACAACTCCTGGTATAAAACATCATCATCCGTGTCCCGTCATGGTTCGTTATGTGTGTGTGTGTGTGTGTGTGTACCTTTTCAGCAGGCAGGTAGCTAAAGGGGAACACAAAGCGCCAGTTGAAGTTTCCCTCTCCGGTCAGAGAGTTATAGTGGACATCGGTTTCCTGGCGGTCATCTTCCAGACCTTTCAGCCAGCTACACAGAAAGAGAGAGAAGCTGGGCTCAGGATCAGTAGTTCTACAAGAAAACTAACAATTTGTTGTAAATTAGAAAAAAAAAACATGAAGCCATGTATGAAAAAGAGCAGAATTCTGAATTTAATTTTTTTTTCAAAGTCTGTCCTCCTACCAATGTGTGTGGTTGACACGTGTAAAGTGCAATAAAGGAACATTCAAAGTTCTAAAAACTTGACAGCTGATGACCCCAACCCGACTGAGGGAAATCACAGCTTCAGGATTTTCATGTATTTTTCAACAGAGGGAGAAGAAATGTCATTAAGTTCATCAGCTTCCTTTTATAGCAGGATATTTTTGTAGAAACCACATTGCTCAACAGGGATTATAAATCTTTAGGAAACAAATTGTGCAAAATAAAGTGATGCAGGGGGAGATGGTGTGTTTGTACCCTTTGATGTAGATGTCGCTGGACTGTTGACCGGTCAGGAAGTTAGTGTCTTCCAGAATCACATCTTCTGTATTCCAGATGATGATTCGCAGTTCGTACCTGTTAACAGATCAACGGGTTAACCTTCCCCATCCCCAACCCCCTCTGACCAGGTCTGCTGTTAGAAAACAGTCAAAGCTCACCCTTTTGGTTTTCTTGGAGAAATGTCCACTGGCGGTCCTGGATGTGGTAAGTCCATTGGGAACATGTCCACCCACATCTGGACCTGACCCTGCACACACAAACACACACAGAGAGCTTCGTTTGCTGCACACATGAAAGTTTTTATGACCAAGTCACAGAACTTCAACTGGTTTTAACTATGAGCTTTAACTAGGCCTTCTTTTTTGAGGTGGACTTCCTGTCGATCATCGTCCTGCTTCATAACCTGAGGCTGCCTGACCCTGTGATCACAGAGATTCTACTGAAGGACTTGCTGCTATGACTCAGTGGTTTAAGGAAAGTCCTCCAAGTCTAGACAAAGCAAAGTTTCCCCAGACCGATGATGGTAATGATGATTGGCATTAAGTGCTCCGCCGGCTCTCTACTCAGCTTCTCGTCTGTCTCTGATACATCTGATGATGTCATCCGAGTAGTTCTGCAGATAAAGAGACTGTGCATTGTACTGAAAGTCTGGAGTGAAAAGGAGTGGGGAAAGTACAGAACCCTGTGGTGCTCCGGTGCCACTGGCTATCTGGTCAGACAACAACTGAGGTCTGTTTATCAGTTATCCATTGATCCAGGGGACTGCAGGGTCTTTTCTGGGTTTCTGACTCAGTAAATAAGGATGAGTTGTGTTGAATTTACAGGAGAAAAAACTCCATTATGGATAAGCTTTCATAGGTACTGGAATAAGAGCAAATGTCCTACACAGCAATAGACTCTTCTCCTGTAGTAGCAGATAGTTGTTATAATAGCAACAAGGGACTGGCTGACACAGTCTGGAGCTGCTGCCTTATTCCAGTTTCAAAAATCCATTTCTTTCTGTAATATTATAAAGAGTGGAATTTATAGAAGCTGCAGTCCTTTTTTTCATTCTAGTTGCAAAGATTCTCACATAAATTACCCATTTAAACATGTTTATGGAACATTTTCCAGCAATCAGTCAATTACAGTCATACTTAGTTTTAGACCACAGCTCCATTTGACTCAGTAGATCAGATCATTACGACGTCCCAATCGGGAGCAAAACGATTGACTTGACCTCTCTAGTTGACTTTATGTTAAAGTTTCTTCTTCTGACGTTTTGTTTCTTTTGAAGTGCCACGGGGCTCCGACGTTTTTGGTCCCATCATTTTCCCTTTCCGCGCCAAGCATGTCTACATTACATAAATTACACTCAGATTTACTTATAACTGCACCAACTGAAACCACAAGTATGTATTTTCTGTTTTATAAACCGTCTCTCTTAATCTGAACAAATGTCTGATGGCCTAAACAGTGATGGTCGATTCATGACGTTCAAGTTGAGAAGAACATTAGTACAGAAATGATACATAGCTTTTCATAAATGCACTCTTCTTTCTCAGTTGAAATCCACCCCCCCCCCCTCCCCCACACACACACTTTTCAAGCCAATCTAACTTGCCCACTGTACTTTAAACTATTGGTGCTAGTGAGACAGCAGGACTATTGCTGACTGAATATTTTCACCTTTTTGAATAGAATCTTTTTATTTGTTTTCTCATGTGCAGCAGCTGGTTTTTCATAAAGTGAATAGGAAATGTTTATTTCGATTTTTTTTTTTCACATTTTGTCATATCACTACCACAAATCACTGTATTTCATATGATAGACCAAAACAAAGTAGTGAGTAATTGTGAAGAGGAAGGAAAATGGTGGTTGCAATATAAAAACATGTTGAAAAGTGATGGGAATATCAAGCACCCGCATTATAAAAAAAAAAAAAAAACTCATTTGATTTGACGTACCTGATCCATTCCAGGCCGGGCTTTGTTGTACAGAGTTCTGGTCTCGATGTGTTCTGGTACCAGTTTGCATCCCACAGCTGGGATCTCTGCCCAGCGGTGCAGGACCTTCAGAGACAGGTGCTCGTACGACTCCACCGGCTCGTCTACGGCGTGGAGAAATGCAAACGATTACTTGCACAGAGTGGCAGCAGATCTATCGTCCTTTACAACATAGTTTAATACCAAAAGTATTCACTCATTCATCCAAATGACGGAATTCAGCAATTCTAATCGCTTCAACGTCTAGAAGCAGGATGCTTCTAAAAATATTTTGGAAATGACTGCATTGAGCTCAGGAGCTGAGTGAGTTCCAGCATGTGGCATCATGGACTTTGTTGCTACCAAATAACCAGCATTTGGGGTGTTATTACAAGGTGATTGGAAACTTGCCCAGAGTCTTAACCACAACTCAACAGAACAAATGTGTAATGAATTAGAGAAGACTATGAATCGGGCTATTTTCTCCAACAGCTACATTTAAAACTACTTGTGGAAGAACGGTACAAATTCCCATAAACACATTTGTGGGCCATTTGCAAAGTTCCAAAGCAAACTTTTGACAATACAGTGCATCAGAGCAATACTGGTGAAAGATGAAATGCTGGTAAATATTGTGCACAACACCAGCATGCCTAATGAAGAGGGCTTTGTTATGCTAGGTGTGATTGTTTCTTGTGGACTTTTCTTCATAATGTCTTTGGTTGAGACATTTGTTCCCTCTGGTTCTGGATGCTGTGCAGCTGGAAGGATTTTTCCTCTTTCTTTTAACCTACAGACAGCTGTATGGTGCATAACCGTGGCAGCAGTACTAGTAGAAGTAATGTTTGTACAACCAGAAGAAGATGATTAGAATCCAAAAAGCTCAAAAACAGTAAAATCTGAACTCTGACCCCAAATCCCAAAGCTGAGCTAAAACAGAGGCTGCAGTAGTTTAATCCATCTCTTCTACCCATCATCATGGCTGAGGCTCATATCCAACATGAAAAAAACACATTAAAATGAAGACTTTGAAGGTACTTGGATTTTATGAGTGACAGCATTTAACCTTCCTTTGGGATGAATAAAGAACTTTTGAATTGAATGAACACAGCACAGCATTTGTGCAAGTTCACCGATGACGTTCTAAGTCCATCTCAAAACATCCAGAACTTGTGTGAGTCGTCGTTACCGTCGTGCATGTAGAGAGTCTTCCCTGTGAAGACTTTGTCAGCCACGGTGATGCGTCCTGGACTGAAATGAGGACCGTCCACTCCGTTGTCTCTGCACATTTTTGCCAGCAGCTCTGACGGCTTCAGGCTGTCTCTCCAGGCGTTGTAACCCCCTCTGCGGTCAAAGAGAGGCGCTCAGTCACTCACAGCAGGACTTAATTCGGTGACTTGAACATCCGCCACATACCGGGGATTTTTAGGTGACAGGCCAACACAAGGCAGAACTTTGGGATACATTTTAAAAGCAGCTTAAACGTGACATGCCTTTTGTATTCAGTCAATTTCTAAAACCAGCTTTCATTTTAATCACAGCTGAAAGTCTTTCAGATTTTTTTTTTTTTTTTTAGAGCTTATCATATTTATACATCTAATCACTGAAATGTTTGCCAATTCTTTGCAAACCAGCTGTGGTTGTTAACTGAAGGGTCATTGCAACACGTGCATGTGCTTTTGGTCCTAACCGCTTCATTTTGCTCTGGCTGTTTGTTTAGTCACATTGCTGTACTGGAAAGTGAATGTCCATTCCAGTCTGACACCTGCTGCAGCGTCTAACAGGTTTTCTTCCTTTTATTTTACTCCTTTCTTCTCATCACTCTCTTTTATGACTTCCTTCTTTTATCTCCACCAGACATATCAGATTTATTAAGTGTGTGACTAATGGTTGTCCTGTCCATGTGTTTTCCTACCTGAGCTGTGCATCTGTGCAGCTCCTCCAGAGTCACCATGGATCTCCTGGTTGCTCTCTGGTTAATGTTCTCCCTGCCTTGCCTGGCCTGTCAGATTAGGTGGACAGCTACATCTCCGTATTTGTACCGTACTCTACGGGGCTCTAGGTAACGCTCTGACCTAAACTCCGCCCCCTCACCCCGAACTGAACACCTAAAGCACCTGAACTTACAGACTGTACTCGCTAGGCAGTCCACATGTAGCTCTGTGCCTGCTGTAAAAGCGGTTCTCCAGATCAATGCGAGTCTCTCCAATCAGGTCGTCGCCTCCCACCAGGTCATAGTCATAAATGAGCAACGACAGCAGAGACTCCTGAGGAAACGTGGCCTGCATTTCAAAGGACCTGGAGGAGAGAGCCGTCTGAGAACACGAATCCCAACTGGACAACGTTCAGACGTTCAACAGATCAGTCGCGTACCGTCCAAAAACAGGGTTCAGCTGTTTTGGTATGTAGTTATCTCTGTCTTTGATTTCATTTTTCCCAAGGCGAAGAAAAATGTAAGGGTCGGCCTTCCCATCTGGGTCGGCTGGATGCAGGTTGGACGCCTGGGAAGACGGCAGGGATCTAAAGCTTTATGTCATTTAAAAAAACAAAGAGCAGAACGGAGCTGGACTCACAGAGACGATGTAAACCCGGATGAGAACTTGGACTGAAGTGTTTGGGGGGATTCCTCTGTTCACCCTGTAGTGACCTGTGTCCACGACGTCTTCCCCGTCCTCCTCGTCTTCATCACTTAGCTTATAGAGGCAGAATCGACCCTAAATGAGCGGAATAAAAAAGAAATAAATGACTAGATTAACATATATTTTAATCCATGTCTCGTAGCAGCACCTGTAGAGGAACTCACCTTGAACTTCCCAACAAATCTCTCATCGGACGTTCCCTCGTCCTCATTGGCCTTCCCCCTGAACAGCTCGTATGTGCTGACCCAATCATCAAATGGACCAAACTCTGCCTCCAGCTCCTTACTGTACAGCTGCACAGGCCAGATCACAACCACAAAGGGTAAGAAAGAAACCTACGGTTTTATGTTTCAGGACCTGAAATCTATTATTATACACAAACCAACAGACAGAGGAACAGTTTTTACCCAGCATTCAACATTCCCCGTTGAATGCTGCCAAGTGGTCAATTTGACCTTGTCCAGCTTTTATGTCTTAGTTTTCCATTATTTTTTAATCAATGTTTCATTGTTACAATGACAATAAAGAATAAATAATGAGCATGGTACATCCATTGCTTTGAGGTGTGTATGTGCTGCTCAGAGACATGCACTATGCATTCAAATTCCAAGGAACAAAAAACTTTTGTTTCTGTTGATGACCTAGTATTGTGTTAAAAAGTTTTCTTTTGTATATTGTAAGTTCATTGGTATTCTAAGCATAAACTAAAGACCAACTTGGTGCTTATGTCCTTGGCGTTTTACCTGGAGTTTTGCGATTTTAGTAGGTAAGACATAGCTGAGCTCCAGTGTCTCCTTTCCTTTCTGTTTCTTCTTCTTGTCTCCATCTGATTGGCTGCTGACTGTGGCAGAGCACACAGGATGTGTTCGGTGACAAACACTGACACAGAACACAGCGACAAACACAACAACGTGCACACACATACATAAAGCCTCGTTCACAGACCTGCCAGTCATGTGTCAGAGTTTATACAATCCACCGCGACTCTTCAAGTGGAAGAACAAACCAGTTTGTTTGTTTTAAACTGGTTTTTGTGGGCATAATTCTGCCCACAAAAACTACAAATACCATGCAGATTGTTCAGTGACAGAACCACATCCAGTACATTCACATTCATAGTGCAACGGCCGAAGGCCTTGGGTGTCTACATGTGTCTGCAGCTGTACCATGGAAACCACAAAGATTCAGTCAGTCCCCAAATCCTGCAGATGTCATTCAGTGACCAAGCAGAAGATTTCTCCCCAGGAAGTGAACAAAGCCAGATGCTGGATGTGCATGACAAGAACTCCTCCAACTGCATGTCTAAGTCCTTACCCAGAGAGTCTACTCCATCGCTGAGCAAGCTGTGGTATGGTGAAGCTGCAATGCACAACAGTGTGGGTCAGGGGACCTCATCAGATATCATGAGGTTAAAAATATGATATTCTAAATGAAACCGTGTCATTGAAGAAATGCTTCCATTCATTTTTTTTTTTTTGTTATTCTTAAATGATCCAAAAGGTGTAGCCTCTAGTCTCTTGGCTGCTGCTGAGGAAATGAGCTTGTGAAGCAGTAAAACGTCATTTAAAGCTGCAGGATGGAACTTTTATCATTATATTTACATATTTGCTGAAACTGACAGTTTCTTATTAAATTATGTTTTACTATTTGGCGTACTATGTTCTGACCGGATAATTATTTGTGTTATGCAAGCCGTTGATGAATGCTAAGTGCTAATAGCAGCTGTGGAGAGAGAAGAGGAAGAACAGAAAGAACCTTTGCCAAGAAAGAGACAAAAAGTGTCAAAAGTGTTGGATCACTTTAAGCTAAATAGAAAAGATGACACTCTCTAGTACTTGATGCTCCGCCCCTGGATCGCCTCAGCAGGAAACATCCACTACATGCATGGAGATTGTTCGTGACGTTTTTGTTCCCTTTGCAAACACGAACATGGGTCTGCCACAAGGTCTCTTCCACATGGGATGTGTTTGGAAAACTTCCAGCTCAGGAGGGAGAAACCGAAACCTCCTGAGCAGAAGTCTGTCGAGGAGCAACAGCTCTACCCCAAACTCCTTCTGAATGACCCAATCATCACCCTGCCTCTAACTCCTAAGGGAAGGTTCAGCCACCAAATGGGGAAAGCTCATTTCAGGTACTTGTATCTGGAACATTTTCCTTTGGAGTCAGAACATTAAAGGGACAGAATTGTGTAAAATTATCTTTTCTTAGCTTTATATCATGTTATAATATGATTCTCTCATTAAAAACATACCTGGAGTGTTGATTTGATTCTTTCATGCATGTTTTAGAAATCCTTGAACCTCCCATTTGGGTTTGTAAAACTCTTGGGGGAATCAAGCACCGCTTTCCACATGTAGCTCCTCCTGGGAACTGCAGCTTCCAAGGCAAGCTTCCACCTTACAGAGCCCACCTCCCTCCCAACTCACCCACTCAGCTCCTTCAAACTAGCAGCAGCAGCGATTAGCAACCACCGGGTGGAACCGTACATCTGCAGGGCTCATTATGTGAACCTCATTCCAGTGCGCCCACAAACGCTTGTAAACACTAAATAGAGCGATGTTAATGTGATGATTGCTGAGAACGGAGTGTCAGAAAGAGCAGGGGTAATTTTCTTAAAGAGACAGTGACCCAATTTCAAGCTGTTAAATTGCAAAGTCAAAATTTTTTAAGTTATGTTTTAGCATTTGTTTAGGTCACAGCTACTTGATAGTGCTATAAAACTACCATATGGCTGGAAAACACATAATACTGCCCCCTTAGTAAATTAACGTGATTAATTGATTGACACTTTTTTTGTATTAAAAATGATCTGTGTGGTACAGGCAAACCTTTGTCTGTTACACAGTATTCTCTTCAGTGTTGCCCACACCAGGAGAGAGAATCGTTTGTGAGTGTTGGTAACAGTCAGAAGACCAGTGGACCAAAGCATCTGCATGATGTCAAAATGGCCTAACAGATTTCTGGAGAGATCAGTCAACCAAACAGTACATGCTTCTTATATGAGCCACCTAAGAGCTTTCTTTAACAGGAGGATTGAAATATGTTGGACCTGGCAACATAAAACAAAGATACTGAGAGTGGATGAGAATTTCTTACCTTTGTCAAACACACTAGGTAGTTGGAAGCTGTCCTTCTGTTTAGCCTGGAATAAACACAGGCAGCTCAAATGGACATCTCTTAAAATGATTAGATTATAATGTTTCTGCACAAACCTGGCGGTCAGAGTCACCTGTTTGTCCACAGAAGCGTAGTATTTGGACCACCAGTCAATGACGGACTCTGCAGACTCGTCAGCAATGGTTCGCCTCCTCCTCTTAGTGGACCGGTGGATGCTCTTTGAGCTCCTCTCCTGTTTGAAAAATATTCAGAAAGGATCGATTTTGGAGCTGGCGCAAGTAATGTGACCACTTGTTCTTTTGCATGTGAATTACACCTTTTTCTTCTTGGGTTGTGGCCTTGGTGTGGGCGGAGCTGGAAGCGGAGCTTCATCCTCCACAGTTATGAGGAAGTCCTGGTTAGTTAGGGTCACAGTTGAACGGGTCTCCATAGCTTCCTGAGACAGCCCTGTCAACCACAGTTCAGTTCACTTCTATTTCTACACCACTAACTTACAACAAACGCCATCTCAACACACTTAATGGAAGCAGTTATATTGGTCGACTCAATTCAAATCAGTCTAGTCCATGCAGTCAAGCACAATGGTTCTCACTGTGGTTCAGTTCAGCTCCAAAGCCTTAGAAATGGCTTCATAAGCCTTTGTAGGCTGATAGGCTTTACTGGCCGTTTCTCAGCTGCTCTTTAATGTCTTTAGACTGAATCATGATGCTTTGGTTGTTTAGATTTTTTTAAGTCATTTGGTTTTGCTGCTCCTCTTTAAGTCTCTGTCCAGGCGTCTGGTCAGAAAGCCGGGCAGAGAGATGTTTGGATATTGTTCCTACTCAATATGATGGATAGAATAAACTTCCTCGTTCTCTCTCTGGGTTTACTTAAACTAAAACCAGACCGAATGGGTTCTCTTAGAATCAATGAATGAATGAGTGAATGAACTTATGAATCTTGTTTTGAATGAAAGCTGAACTGAAAATAACACCAAAACTAGAGGAGCAGCATTTATCTAAATCTTTTTGGCACTTTTCTGATCAAATTTGGGTCATTTTTGATCCTGTTGAAAAAGTTGAGCAATCATTGTCATTTCCATAATTGTCTTATTTTTATATACCTTTGTAGTCCTTTTTGACTAATTGTGATTTTTTTTAAATAGTCTACTCAGTCATGGGGTTTTCTTTGTTTTTATTTTGCATCTTGTCATAAATGTAAAATCCAAGTTCTTTATCTTTAAAGTGTTACACTTGGTGACCTTTTATCATTGATGGGAAACGATAACGAATGAACTGCTTTGACAGCTAATAAAAACAGGGCACAAAGTTATAAACAATCATTACCCTTAATGCTGTGTGGCTCTGGTGTCAGGGAGGGTCTTGGGGTGTGTGTGACCTCAGGTGGTTTGTGTAACTGAACTGTGTGAGGGGGAGTGGGAGGGGGAGTGTACTTGAAGGCCTTGAGGTTGTTGATGATGTGGTTTCCAACCAGTGTGCTGCGGCCAAAGGCCCGCCAGTCAACGACGGTGATGCTGAGAGGAGGATGGAGGTGTTCGTTTTCTGGTAACTCCTGCCACACAACAGAGTGGACAAAGAAATTTAAAGTGCTCAGTAAATGTGTCCTGTGGACAACTGTACTGTACAGACATCCTGACTGGAGGACCATATCTGCATTGCCGTGCACCAGATGGGAACACGGCCCATCTACAGGAGCCACAGTTCTGCTTGGGTTGTAATGGATCAAATTCTTATTTCACTCAGTGACATTAACTTGCTAATTTATACTTGAAAGTGATTTTGTAATTGGAATGTTTTGACATATTGCCTAACATGATGTGTTCCTCCTCGACCAGCTAAGTTCTGAAGCTCTCCTGCTGTGCTGACGTAGTTTATATGTGTTCCAGGTGTGTTGATCTTACCAGCTCTATGGCATCTAACAGTGTGGTGAAGTTTGGGTTGGATTTGTACTTCTGGATGACTGAGGAGCGCAGAGTTTTACCCGCACACTCTATGAACACCTGGAGAAGACGAACATCTTAAAGTCTTTTTTTTTTCTAAAAGCGTATTCGTTAGAAAAATTGTTGTTATACATTTAGGAAATACACCAAATGCAAAAATTATGACAGCAATGAAATATCTATGTAATTCTGATTCCCTTAAAAGTAAGAGAATTTCTTAGACCTGTGGCCGATCGACAGACAGGAGCTGAACCTTCTTTAGCTCCCTCAGCCCCCAGAACAAAACCTAATAGGAAACATCAACATCTGTTTTAAAAGGACATCCTGAAGATCCTCTCAACCCCCTTGTGATTAAAGCAGACAAACCTCCAGCCTGTAGGTGCTGAGAACTGGCCTGATGTTGGCAGGAACAGTATAAATGCCTCCTTCCTGTTCTTCTAACTCTGGCAGACTCATCTGGCCAGACTCTGAAATCTAGAAGATGGAAAAATTCATTCTGGATTAGCGTGATCACAATGGTGTGAGCCAGTTACCTCTGTTGAAGTTTTAAACAGCTAAAGAGGTGTTTTTTTTTGTTTGTTTTTTTTTTTTTTTAAAGTTTTGTCTACAGCTACATTTCCATTAACCTTAAAATTGTGCAAATTGAAATTACAAAAAAAAAAAATTGCTTAAAGGAAACAACAATTTTAGAAAAAAATACATTTGTTGATCAAATGTAGCACTGGGATGAGGTGATTTTTTTTTTGGTTGCATTGAAATAGATGTGACACTACTCACATCTGATTGACTTATGTGATGTCATATCACATGTTACTACTGGTGAAAACGACAAAGAAGACCAGAAGTAGTAGCACGATGGTTTTTCTGACAACGTGCAGCTGGCTCCACCAGAGCTCTCACAGCATTGCACAGTTCATAAAAAATTGTGTGTCGTTCTCACGTGTTGAATCCATAACTCTGAAAAAATTACAGACTACAATTTCCCCAAAACATCGCATGTGTAGCTGCTCCCATGTATAAGGAGTTCGTCGCTGCAACACCTGAATAAGACGCCGGCGTCTCCTCAGATGGCTGACAGGAAGAGCGCTACAGCACCATGACTGAATTATGAACACATCCATCTTTGCCATGATGTTTAATGACTTATCACATGAACAAGCTTATTCACGTGTGATTTTAGTTTATTGCACTTGCAAATTAGTTGTGTTTTATCAGCATTAGCGGGAATACAGAAAAAAGTTTACGCACATTTGTAATGGAAGCCCAGCTTATGAGACGCCAGACAAAGTTCCAGAGTGGAATTTTGTCACCGTCTGGAGTCGCTGACCCTTATTGTATCCGCTTGGGACAACTACCAGTCTCTTCTAAACATTTCTCTTGATCACAAAAAAAGACAGTCAGATGTTTGGCTAATCATGGTGAGAAGACTAAAGGAGTGCCGCTCATTGCTGTTATCAAAGGTTCATGGAAATGAGACTCTGCATCACTATTATCACCGTTTCACACACCTTTGGCCATGAAAGTGACCCGAGAGGCTAACCTGCAGCAGTTCGAATGCAGCCAGCAGGTCTCCTCCTGACTGGCTGCCACAGTGAAGTGGGCTGTACTGCAGAAGAGGTGGGGTGTAGGGCTCAGAGGCCAAGCGCACCTCAGGGACTGCCACCGTGGCTCCCAGGTACTCTGCTTTTCCCTGCACAGAGCACAGAGCAGGAAGGGGTTCAGAGATGGCAGAAACTAAGAGACTCGTCTGAATCACGTGTCTTGCGGTGGGATTACCAGAGCGTCATCATCGTAGACCTCAACAACAACGTGAGGAGGCTCCTCCTGGATGTGCTGCAGGTCTCCACTTAACAGAACGGAGCTCATTGGCAAACAATGGTTCCATGTAGGACTGAGAGTCTGACTGATGATCTGACAACACACACAAAACAGGAAGACCGAGGTCAGACACAAAGACCAGAAATACCGCAACAGGTTTGTTTAGAACAAACTAAGCTCTTCAGTTTGGTTTGATTTTAAAGTGTTGTAAGTCAGGTTGCCATGAAAACCCCAGTCAGGTGAGCCGGGTCCAACAATACGTAAACACACACTTACATTGGTGGTTTGGCTGTGTGAGAGAAACGTGACCCGCGCAAATGGGTCGGACAGCCCCGTGTTGTCTGCGGCGATCAGACCTCGAGCCTGATACATGTGGCACCGCAGCTGGAACTTGTGCTGCTCTGCAGAAACAAACACAGCAGGTCCAACCACAAGCTCTGCCATGCGCCGACATTCACCTGACGAACGTGAATGTCGGCGATCACGGCGAGCCAAAGTCACCAAAAGAGCAATAGTCAAATGATGCAGAAATCAGTCGATGCTGACAGTGGTTTTAAGATAATAGACATTCATATCTTAGTTTTTCCTTGCTCGTCGGAGGTCACGCCGTGTGTAAGAGTTTATTCAGCACAAATTAAGGTTAAAATTAAAGTTTCAAACATGATGTGTGGAAGTGACATCCGTGGCGCACGGTGTGTACGAGTGGAGGATTGAAGTGAAGGTGTTGGAATGTGTGATTAAAAGACAGATATTTGTTGAGCAGAGAGGAGTTAGTTGGTAATCAGTGGTTTGAAAGCCTCACTAGGTCCTCAGTTTAAATTGCTAAAGGAAAGTGGAAACTCCAGCCTAAACCGAAGGTTCAGAGAAAGCCAGCGAGGTTTCTGGCATTCTCTGTGTTTTTCTCTAAGCTTCCTTAATGGGACCAAGAACTCTGACTTCTGTCTGTTACATTCAGCTAGAAGAAATTATGATCTACTATTAAACAATGGACATACTGGTGCTTCTTCCTCACCCATGCAAAGCAGGTAAGAAGGAGGGCTGTTGGTGTCAGCGCCCTCTGTGGCTCGACTGTATCCTGCAGGCAGGTCATCCAGCATATGGCTGGAGTCGGAGCAAGCTCCAAACCACAGGTACACGTCCAGCTTGGCTTGGACCGACAATGCTGCAGGTCGCTTCCCTGGAGGCTGCTCACACAAGCACACAGTCAGATACAGAACATTTGGAGGTTTTTTTTTTTTTTTTTTTTTTTCCCCTACCAGTTGTGCAACATTTAAAGGAGCAGTGTGCACTATGCATGTTCTAACCTTCAGAAACAGTGTTACTATCTTCCCACAGAGAATTCCTCTGGCCTCCCGGTTGCTGGAGTAAAGCAGGTCTCTGGTTCGAAGTCTGGCGTATGCAACACGTTTGTTATTGCTTAGCAACCACACAAACATGTCTGGGACCGTGTGTTGGGGCTGCAATGTGAGGATGTGTATGTGATCAAGAAAAGTTAGGACACCATGGTAAACATATCAGTCAGACGCTGTTAAAACTTTTCTCACCTCCTCCACGAGGAAGCGTAGCTTTTGCGCTAGCTTAGTTGCTTCTTCTAGCATTTCTTTCACTCCTCTTGCTGCTGTTTTCCTCTCTCCCAGCATCTCGGCCTCTCCTACCATACTCTCCTGCAACACGCATGCATGTATGTGCTGTGCTCTGCTAATGCTTTGCCAAAACACTTTGCTGGAGAACACAGAGTAAGTCCATACTCACCTGTTGTCCAATAAAACATTTCTTTAGAGCCATTAAAGTCATACTTATTTAGTCTGACCGCAACAGAAGAACAAATTAATAGACCCTTTATTTTGCTCTGAACTCCTGTGCAGGTGCCAAAAGGCCCAGTGTAAATGGCCTTGGTAAACGTAAGGCATGGAGGATATCCTGAAAGATCTACAGAGAGCCAGCATAAAGTAACCTTTTTATTGATTATTGTAGCTGGAGACAGTGTTGAGCAGTTGGTCAAATAAATTGGCACTTCAGTTGATTTTCTGCAACACACGTTTTTGAAAACAATATTGGAAAATGGTTCGAAAATGACCAACTATTTGAACTCGAGCAGAGACATACCACATCAAATATTCATGTTACCGTACCGCGACTAACAGCTCTGGAAAAAATTTAAAAGGCCACTGCAGATTTCTTTCTGAAATCAGCACCTCTACATGCATAATAGTTTATTTATTGCCTCTACCAGGAGGGGGCACTCAACTGAGCCTGCTATCTGCACACTAGAGAAACTACTCTCTAACTGGGCTTCAAAAGTAATTAAGCAATCAATACTCTGAGTGTATTCTAAATGAAATATTTAACAGAAGAAAATAAAAACAAGACTTGAATAAATCTGTAAGAGGGGGAGTGACTGTTTTCCATGACCATATATGTGTTAAATCCTAATCATTGATCAGATATTAAATTAAAAAGGTATGATTCTGGCATCAGTTGATTAAAACTCAAAGATTTTCCATTGATATCTAGATGAACCTTCCCCCGACAGGCGCTGCCAGCCTCACCAGCTCTTGTTTGCACATGGTCAGACGTTTCTTGTCCAGGATTGTCAGGTAGCTGCTCTTCAGCTCTGCCTTCAGTTTGGCCTCCGCAGTGGCAATAAAATTCCTGTAAAACGCACAACGCATCTTAAAGAACAGAACAAAACTCCTCCTCCACGATGATACTAGAAACCAATGAAGAAAAAAACAAAAAACTTTTGGTTGTGACAGCTGTAGGTGGTTTGATTGTTGATTAACTGAATGAATGTTGCAAGAAAAGCGCCTGGTTGTCGTGTTTTAATTAGTGGTGGAGCAACAGCAGTAAGCAGTGAAGGAAAAAAAAAACAACAATGATGGTGAACAAAGATTTGGTTGAGCTTAGAGTTACATTAACCCAAATCATTGCCATACACTGGTAATGACTAGGGTTGAAAAATGCAGTATAGCATAAATGAATTGATGTCATTACAAAAGTCCTAAAGTGGGTAAAAATACAAACTTATCTGGTGATGCTTTGCCCAAGAGTAAATTGAAAGGCTGGAAGTGGATTTAATGTTATAATGTGGCAATAAAATGTGTATCAAACTTGTTCCTCTCCTCACGGTCATTTCCGTACTAAAGAAAGTCAGTATTTTCACACAGTGGTTCCATTATAATTTGAGGTGACGTCTTTGGACACGACTGTAAAAAAATATCACCAACATCTGATCATTTTTTTTTTCTTTGAATACCTGCCAGGTGTGGAAATTTGCAAGTTATAAACTGAAATCTCTGAGCATAATTTTAGAAACATTTAGATTTAGTAGAGATTATGCTGAACAATAAATGAATAGGCAAACTCTGTTATCCCAACATGGTGGATAAACATAATGAAATGATTCGTTGCTGCAAGCCTCAGATGCTCGGCTGCTGGAGCAGCGAGAGCTCTGCCGGATTTACCTGGCATCCAAACAAAAATCTCTGAGCGCGGCCCTTAACGCTGCCTCAGCCGCTGGGTCCAACTTCTTATGCAGGTCGGCAGCAACACACACACCCTCCTCCTGTGGGGCACAACGACAGAGAATAATCACAACAAGTAGACTGCTGAATTTAAAGCACTGCAGTTTCCAGAAATTGATCATCCTTCCAGAACAGTTGATGCACCTGCTTCTTTATTTTGGGTGTATTTATGAAGTTAAGATACGTGTGAAAACAAATAAATGTTTATTATTTGGGTTGGATTTTTGTTATTAAAACCTGCAGTCCCACAGATTGGTTTATCTTTGAGCCACTAAAGTCATGCATCTTCAGTATGACAAAAAATAATAATAAAGAAACTTAGAATTGGGCTCTGATAAACAACATGATACACATGAGAGGTTGTGTGTGTGTTTAAGCATTTCTCGTGTTGCAAGGAAAATTTTTCCAGCAGGTAATACATTAGCAGGAGCCACTGCTCCTTATTAGGCCTAAATCTTGGGTCCCATAAGGAGTAGTCATGTTTTTGGCTCAGCAGTTAGGTTTCCACATACAGGGAAGTTCAGTTTTCAGTTGGGGTGATCCCAACACAAGGAACATGATAGCAACGGCAGCAACTAAAGCTGAAAACTTTTCGACTTTCTTCTGTCGTGTCGCACGTCTACATGCATGAACTCAACGTTTTGTGTGTGAATTTTGCGGGTTGCTTGGCTGGAGAAAAGCAAACGATTGTTGTTGCATCGCCTCCCTTGTGTAAAGCATGGTTTGAGTTTAGGTCTGGTTTAGGTTTAGGGTTTACGGCTAGTAGTTAGGGTTAGAGTAAGGATCAGGGCTGGGCCGTGGAAATGAATGAAAAAAGAAGTCAAAGCAAAGTCCTTGTGAAGCTAGAAAAATGTCCTGTGTGTGTGTGTGTGTGTGTG